CCCTTGCATGCCCCTCTCCACCGCCACCCATCATGTCACAAGCTAGCATCACGTCAAAAGTTACTTAATCCTCATTAGGGGCCCCTTATGGAAGTACCTCAGGAGCCTGCAAGCGTACAGTTGAGCTCAAAGCTGGGCCACACTCGCACGTGTGTGAACCATCTCCTCCACATGGGAATGAGCAAAGAAGCTGGGATCAGGGCCACTCCTGCAGCTCACATGTGTGCAACCCCTCTCCCTCATTCACAACTTTAAAGGAGCAACAGTGTTCCTTTTTGCTGGGGTGTGTGTGTGTGTGCTTTGAACCACAAGTTGCATGGCTGCCTTGTGGCCCAGAGGATTCTACAAAGGCCCAGCTGGGCTCTGGCTTGCATGTGACCCCACAGGGCATCTCAGAGAGCCCACTGCCTCTCTGCCTCAGTTCCCCACCTTTAAGATGGGAGCAGCCGCTGCTCAAAGCTACTGTGAGAACTACTGAGGTACATATTAGGCTGAGCAAAAAAGATTTAGGCTCCAAAAGGTGCCCCTGTTGGTTAGAGAATGCTGGCAACTCACAAAAGAACTGCATAACTGTCCATATGACCACCAACACAACTGCTCTGCAAGAGAGATCTTTCATATCCCGGTTGCAGAGAAATATTAACTCTTTTACAAGAAGTCATTAATACCTTTTCACTACCAGGAACACTGCTGCCAGACAGCTCCCTTATCATGGACACGACCCAAACAAAGTTTTGGTGATTCCAAGCATGCTCTTAAAATCTGTCCTAGTGAGATATGTGGGGCTTAAATGTACTCAATTCTGGCTGGATTCAGTAATCTACATTCTCAACTTCTTATTTTATCATCATTCCCAAGATATGCCTTGTCCCAGCTGATCATGCTAGGCTGATCCCATCAGACACTAAGCAGTGTCAACACTGGTTAGTACTTGGACTTCTGGTTTTCAGTGCGGCGACAGCAGTTGGCTCCAGGACTTGCCCCTGAGTAGCCGTGCCGGATCGCCGTGTTCCAAGCAGAGTTCAAGGGATCTCGAGCTCCACTGGGCTTCCTGAAGAGAAGTCCAACACAGGGGGCTTGACTCCAGACTCTCCACGAGTGGCAGTGAGCGGATTGAGTCCGGAGTTGCCCTGACATGCAACCCAGGCGAGAGCTTCTGTGGGCAGCCACAGTAGCAGAGCCATGACTAGCTGGACAAGGGGAGAACCCCATACAAAAAACTAAAGAAGAACTTTCAAACCAAAGTACCTTGAATGAAACAAGTCCAAAAGAACCTTTACAAACTTTAAGCCCTTTAAACTTTTTAAATACAAACGTTAGAAGAGTGGAGGGGTGAAGGGATCTCCCCCCCCTTTCTTTTGAAGCAGCTTGGAAGAGAACTGCAAACGGAGCCTTTTAAATACCTCTGTGAGCTAAAAAAGAGAAATGGTTGATGTCTGAAAGTAAAACGTTTTAATAGATCTACTAACTTTACAACAACTTACTGTGGATTACAATATTGACCTATTTGGAAAAGTGATATTTTTGGGGGGAACTAATTTTACCTTATTGAAGCTTTCCTATTTCTGGAATTATAATTTGCTTATTTGGAACTGGATGAAGATTCCCTAATGGATGTGCATAAAATATCTGTATGTGTGTGTGTGTGTGTGTGGTGTGTGTGTGTGTGTGTGTGTGTGTGTGTGTGTGTATGTATGTATGTATGTATATATACACACACACACACACACTTAATAAAATATCAATTAAAAATAATAATCAGGCCCATTATATCGAGTGACTCGGAACGACACTGACCTGGAATCTAGTTTTTGGAGACATCTTAATACGCCATCGTTAGCAACAAACTGTAGAACTGAATAGCACCTTATGATTTTATGTTTTAACTATTATGAAATTATGTATATTGTTTTATTGATTTTATTGGCAATTGGGCCACTGCTGTAAGCTGCCCTGAGCCCGTTCGCAGGGAGGGCGGGGTATAAATTGAATGAATGAATGAATGAATGAATAAATAAATAAAATGTACTTTAACATTATTTGGATTATAAAGCAAAGACGAGTACCCATCTTTTGTTTTTAAAAGGAGAAAGAAGAAGAAAAAAGAACTGGTAAATTATCTGAAACCCAGTTTTATTTTCTAAACGTCACTTGCTGTGTGGTATAAATTCCAATCTGGTAGTGTTATGTTTTTATATCTTGTACCTACTAGAATACATTTTGTTCTAACTGTATTGTAAACAGTTGATAACATTGCCTGTATAAGCTGGGAAGGAAGAGTGCTTGTTCTTAGCATAATAATAATAACAACAACAACAACAACAATAACAACAACAATAGTTTTGGAAATACAGAAAACTGTTTGAATTTAAAGGTACTTAGAAAGAGGGAGCGGTGGCGCAGGTGGTAAAAGCCTGCATAAAAGTAATCTATCACCGAACAGCCTGATGGCTGTTCGAGTCCCACTGCAGCCAGAGTGAGCTCCCGGCCCTTGTCCTAGCTCCCACCCCCCCAGCGGTTCGAAAGCCCTTAAAATGGCAGATAAATGGGTACCCACTCCTAGGTAGTGGGGGGCACCCTACCTCCAATGAAGAAGTTGGAGGGTGGCGGTGGCGGCGAGCCGGCAGGGAGAACATGGCGGCGGGCCGGTGACGGGCAACGGAGTGACTCGAGTGGTGATTGGTCCGGACGTCGCGAAGGCGTGGTGACGCAGCATGGTCGGAGCCTGCGGGACAGAGACCCACGACTGCAGCATCGCGCAGCCGCACGCCGTAGGACCACCTCAGGGAGCCGATGGAAGAAAGAAAAGACCTCCACCGAAGACACCGCCTGGACATAGCAAGAACTCGCCATGGAAAAACAGAAATCTCGGCTGCTTGGGTGCCTGGTAAGGCATTCAACCCCCCCCCCCACACACACACACACTGTGGCCCTAGGTAGGTGTTTAAATGTTCAATGTAAACCGCTCCGAGCCTTCGGGAAGGAGCAGTATAGAAGTCTAATATGTATGTATGTAAGGTGTTTG